TCCCCCCCCCTCCGCCTTCCTTCCCCCTCCCCAATGCAAACGCCCCGCCTCGCTTACCGACGGCCAGGCAGGTGGCGGAGAAGCCGTAGCGCCACTTGGCGGAGCCCGCGGTCAGGTTGAAGAGGTTGCCCAGCCAGGGCCGGCTGGAGGGGGGCTCCTCCGAGCCGGCTTTCTCCGGGTCGGGCGGCGGCGTTTCCCGCAGGGTGGTAAAGGCCAAGTCCGCCAGGTAGAGCCAGAAGGCGAGCTGGCTGAGGCAGAAGAGGCCCACGTTGCGGAAGAAGCGCGGTCGCTCGTGGCGGAAGAGCTCCACGTCCCGGTTGACGAAGCCGTCCAGCGGGAAGGGCTCCTCAGCTCGCCGGCCGGACGGCGGGCTCCAGAGTTGGCGCCTTGCAAACGGAGGGGCCGGCCCGAGCCGGGCGCTTCGGAAGCCCCCGCCACGCAGGAGGGAGAGGCCCCCGCGGGCTCCCGGGGAAGCCCACGCGCCACGAGCCCGCGGCGGCAACCGCAGCAGCAGCAGCAGCATCGCGGAGCCGCCGGATCAGGGGAGCCGCATGGCCGGCAGGGGGGAGAGGAAGAAGGGAGAGGAAAAAGAGGGAAGGAGAAGGGAGGGTAAAATATGGAGAGGGGGAAGAGAAAAGAAGGGAAGGGAAGGAGGAAAGAAAAAAGAAAAGGGGGAAGGAGGAAAGGAAAATATGGAGGAAAGAAAAGGGAGGAAGCAAAGAGAAGATAAAAGGAGGAAGGAAGAAAGGAAAGTAAAATATGGAGGAAAGGAAGGTAATAGAAGGAAAGAGAGGAAGCAAAAAGAAGATAAAAGGAGGAAAGGAAAATAAAAGGAAGGAGGAAAGAAGGAAAGAAAAGTAAAATATGGAGGAAAGGAAGGTAATAGAAGGAAAGGGAGGAAGCAAAGAGAAGGAAGGTAAAAGGAGGAAGGAAGGAAGAAGGAAAGAAAAGTAAAATACGGAGGAAAGGAAGGTAATAGAAGGAAAGGGAGGAAGCAAAAAGAAGATAAAAGGAGGAAAAGAAGATAAAAGGAAGGAGGAAAGGAAAGTAAAATATGGAGGAAAGGAAGATAATCGAAGGAAAGGGAGGAAGCAAAGAAAAGGAAGGTAAAAGGAGAGGGAAGGAGGAAAGGAAAGGAGAAGCTACGAAGGAGGGAAGGAAAGAAGGAAGGAAAAGAAATGAGATAGGAAGGGAGGGCGTTTGTTCTGGCGGGCGCGCAAGGTCGTAGGAAGGTAAAGAGAGTTTCGTTTTTTCTTTCTTAGCCGGCCGGATGAGTCGTTTGCACCCCTAGATGCGTGTCCCGGGGCTCTCCTGCCTGCACGCCAGGATGCAAGATTCAGAAGCGTGTTGGGGGGGAGAGAAGCGAATCCCGCCCCAGTTCAAACGGGGAGTAACTAATACCGGTTACTCACTGGTGGTTTCCCTCCTTTGCAATTCCAGAGCTGGAGACTTCCACTCCCGGCATGCTCAGGGGCCATCCCTGCGGTGGAACTCTGGGAGTTGGAGTCCACACGTGCAAACCCGGAAGTTCTGGAACCATGGATTACATTTAAGGGGAATTGCTGGTTTTGGCTCCAGGGAGTAAATAGGTGGAAGTGAGGTGCAAATCTCTACATTTAAAAAAAAAAAGTTTGGACCTGGTTTTATTTTAGATCTGATCTAAGTTTTGGGGTCTCCCCACGTGGCAGGCCTGAATTGTGCTTCGCTAAATCATAGTTTATTCATGTTGTATTAATCAAGTTTGGCTGGATTGAGCCACAACCGGAATAAATAATTGACCCAACATTTTTTGCATTAAATTAACCAGTTTCATTTGCAGTTTATATGAGGGATGAAAAATGAGCCATTTTGGAAAATGATGGGGCTTCGGGGTTAAGCTGCAACCAGACAAACAAATCCACAGAGAATCTTATGATTTATCACTTTAGCATCTTATGATTTATGATTGCGCCTAATGATTCATAACTTACCATTTTGTTGTTTGTATACCCCCCCCCCCCCAAGACAAATTCCTTGTATGTCCAATCACACTTGGCCAATTAAACATATGATCTGGTTAGGTTTAACGCTTTGCGCGGCAAGCAAATTTTTACAAAATCCATGGACGGACAAAATCCAGATTTATAATCCCAAACTTTTCCAGCTTTTCTTTTTTTCTATGCACTGCAATATGCATCCCCCAGATGTATATTATTTTGTTCCCAGTTATTCCTGCTTGTTGGAACAAAAACCACCCAGAAGCAGGGTAGCTTTTAAATTTAAAAAAATAAGGAATCTTTGCCAAGGGAAAGATCTTTGCTTGAGGGAAAAATCAAAGCTATTTACAACGTTTTATCGATGTCTTTATTGAGAAATTCTTTTTTGGGGGGGAAGGAGATGCTGAGGAATTTACCCCAGATTTGCGGAAGAGAAAGCCAGTTCCTCGCAGGTCCAAGAACGTGACACACAAAAGTCTGAGATTTTAATAACAACTTTACTAGGCAGTTTTTCCATGGACTGGAAGGAAAACACGGAAGCTAGAGCTTGCCGGACAGAAGCGCAGCCCCCCGTCCCACCCCAAAATCCTTCTCTCGCTTAAAAGGAAAGGAAGGAAACGCCAGCTCATAAGAGAAAATTGATGTAGTGTAGGGGAACGGAAAAAAAAAAGAAAAAAAAAAGGTGAAAAATGGGCCAAAAATCGTTCATTAAAAAGAAAAAAATCCCAAAGGGATGAAAGGAAAGGTAGATCTCTTTTTCTTTCTTTCTTTCTTTCTTTCTTTCTTTCTTTCTTTCTTTCTTTCTTTCTTTCTTTCTTTCTTTCCTTTCTTTCTTTCTTTCTTTCTTTCTTTCTTTCTCTCTCTCCGGCTTCTGAATTTGTCTTCTCAGCCCGCCGGCCTCTCTTAGCGTCTCTTCCAACGGGGCACTGCGTCGTCTTCTACTACAGCACAAATTCGCGGTTTCTACCTCCACCCCCAACGGCAAAAGGTATTTTTTTAAGAGGCACGGCGTCCCCGAGGGGGGAGCAGGGCAGGAGTCTCTCTTAATTTACAATGGAGAAACTTTTTATTTACAAAACCAGGTATCTCAACAAATAAAAATGCGGCTCCGATCGACTTTGGTCGTCCGCTTAGTGCATAAACGCCACTTCGGGGATCTTCTGCTCAGCCTGGGAGAAGCAGGAGAAGGAAAAAAAAAAAGGGAGAGGGGAATCAGAAATTGCGGCTTTTGCGGATGTCTGAGTTGTGGGCAAACATCCCCGAGGTGCCTTGGGACTATGGGATCAAATAATCAAATAAATAAAATAAAAATACAGGGGAACCTAACCTGCCAAAAAGCGTTTGAAACACTGTTTGCGAGAGAACCGGGGCTGAAGCACCCTGACCCCGAACAGCCCCTTGGCCGTTCAAGTGGACGCCAGCGACGCGGCAGTGGGAGCAGCGCTGCTCCGAAGCAACGACCAAGGGAGCCTACAGCCCCGCGCCTGCCCCTCCCGCAAGGTCACGGATAACGTGATTAAAAAGAAGGGGGGGAAAAATCACTTGTCAGCTTGGCAACTGACTCGTATTTATGACGGTTGCAGTGTCCCCGGGCTCAGGTGATCCCCTGTTACGACCTTCTGACCAGCGAAGTCAAAATGGGGGGAACCCGTTTTGCGACCTTGCTTCGCCATGAAACGAATGCCCTGCGGGGTCTGTGTGTGTGTGTGTGTGTGTGTTAAGCTAGTAACTCAAGTGAATCTGGCCTGTCGTCCCCCGTCTTGGGCTTTGCTTGTCAGAAGGTCGTGAAAGGAGATGCTGCCCCCGCCATAAAGATGAGCCGGTTTTCAGGCGCCCGAGTTTTGATCATGGGGGACACCCCAACGGTCCTGAGTGTGAAAAATGGCCACTAGGTCGCATTTTTCGGTGCCCGTTGGGACTTTCGGCCACTGGGGGAACTGTTGTAGGTGGAGGGCTACCTGTACGATGGCCAGAATCCCCAGGGAGAGGCACCCAAGAGGAATCTTGGGTTTCCTAACGCAGAGGTGGGACGCTCACCTTCAGCTGGGTGTAGGCGTGAGCTGCTTTCGCGTAGTTCCAATCGTTGTCCAAGAGGCACCTGGGCGGAGAGAGAGAGAGAAGAAAGAGAGATTGAAGGATTGAGGGGGAGAGGAGAGAGGCTGAGAGAGAGAAAGAGAAGGATTGAAAGAGAGGAGAGAGAAGAAAGACAGATTGAAAGAGATTGAGAGAAATTGAAAGATCGAGAGAAAGAGAAGGATTGGAAGAGAGAGAGAGAGAGAGAGAGAGGAGAGAAAGAGACTGAAGGTTTGAGGGAGAGAGGAGATGAAAGAGATTGAGAGAGAGAGATTGAGAGAAAGAAAGGATTGAAAGAGTAGAGAGAGAGGAAAGACAGATTGAAAGAGATTGAGAGAAAGAAAGGAAGAAGGATTGAAAGAGGAGAGAGAGATAGAGGAAAGACAGATTGAAAGAGATTGAGAGAAAGAGAGAAAAGAAGGACTGAAAGAGGAGAGAGAGGGAGGAAAGACAGACTGAAAGATCTGAGAGTAGAAATTGAAAGAGAAATTGAAAGAGGAGGGAGGAAAGACAGATTGAAAGAGATTGAGAGAGATTGAAAGAAAGGAGAGAGAGGGAGAAAGAGGAGAGACAGATTGAAAGAGATAGAAAGAGAAGGATTGAAAGAGGAGAGAAAGACATTGAAACATTGAGAGGAGAAGTTGAAAGAGATTAAGAGAGAAAGGAGATTGAAAGATTGAAAAGAGAGAGAGATTGAGACAAAAAGAGGAGAGAGATTGAGACCAAGGGGAGATTGAAAAAGAAATAGAAGAGAGAGAGGGGGGATCCTTAAGCCACGGGAGAGACCCCTGACGTCGGTCGGACGCCCTCTTGCCCTCTAACCCCCCTACCCCCCCTTCCTGCCCTCGTTCCCCTGCCGGCACTCACTTCTGAGACCACTCCAGGTTCATGCCCGACTGCAGGGAGAAATTCTGAAGCATTTCCTGCTGCTCGGGCGTCAGGGTGGGCCCGGGGCTCAGGGCCGGCATGGGCTCGGCGGAAGGGATGGGCACGGGGCTGGAGGACGGGGTGGGGGCCGGCATGACGAAGGCCTTGCGGATTTCCGTGATGGTGGCTTTGCGGATGAAGATCTGGTCGTTCACGATGCTCAGCCTGGGGGAAAAGGAAAGGGAAGAGCTGCAGCCGGAGGCCCCCCCCCCCCCCCCCCCGCAGGGCGGGGAGTCCTCGACTTACAACCTGCTCATTCAGGGACCATTCCAAGCGACAACGGGATGCCGGACCGGTTTTCACACTGATCAGAATTCGGGCACTTGACAACCGGCTCGTTATTTATGACGGTCGCAGAACCGCAGGGTCTGTGCGTCCACCTGATCCCCTTTTGCGACCGCCTGACCAGCGAAGTCCAGGGTTTCTCTTAACAACCGGGTCACTGACTTTGACAACCGGGGTGACTCACTTAACAACGAAGGCAAGAGAGGTGGCAAAACTCCCCTTAACCAACGTCTTGTTTAGCCGAGGGGAAGCTCTGCCTCGGCTGCGGCCGTAAGCCGAGGACCGCCTGCCAGTAGAGAGGCCCGATTCACTTTATAACGATGTGAC